ATCCTAAGTGATCGATATGGACTTATATTGCAGCACCATACTCGTTCAAGTATTGGTTGTTACATTTTTTGCTACCTTCTCAAATACTGGAATGGAATCTGCTTTCATGGTTGTTCTCATATCCACATTTTTAGATTAATTCTATTAACGAATATGAAAATGTACTAATCGGTTTCTTCAAAGATAACAGTATTTTCTAAAAGACCGTTTTGGGTTCAACAAGAATGACTTTGCTGAGCTTATGCTGTTGGTTAGCATCATTGGCTCCATCTGTCAGGTAATTAATTACTTGTAGCTATTGTACAATAATGTAGTTGTTGTTTATAATCGAGTAAAATTGTTCGTTGATAAAATTTGTTCATCAATATGTGCTTCAATTTTTTTTTTGTCAGTTATTTATATTGCCGGTATTGGCTCATGCCATTGGAGAACGTAAGGTGTTATCAACAGGTCTTCTTATGGAAGTCTTCGGCGTAAACATTCCAGCATTTTTTTTTTAATCCTCATTTTGTTTCAATTAATATATAGCTAAGAGATTGGTTAATGTGTTTGTCGTGCAGGCAGGACTTCTCAGTGTTTCATGGGCAGCATGGGTGAGTTCGTTGAAACTTAGCTCATAACAGAATCAACAAAATTACTATTTGATTTACACTCCAATGCATTTTATATTTGTTTAATAACAAAAAGGTAATATATACAAATAAATTCCATATTTTTTTTATAAAAAATATTGAACATGCCTGGCCCATATTAAAGTTATGAAAAATTACATACTTAATGATTATTTGGTTTTGTTTGTGCGATCAATGTAGGTTCCCTATGCTACGACCGTGTTTGTGCCTGGAGTCATGTTCGTGATGCCATCAGTAAGATTTTCTCACTTCACTTTTTATGTTTTGTTTTTATAAGCTTTGTATACAGTAACAGAAGTTTAATTTGGTTATAGGTTTATGGTATTGCCTCAAAACAAGTGGGATCTAGTGAACAGGTAAAACAATATAGTTAACTTTCCTCTGCCAACTTTTCAACGTTAGGTCTTGGATAGTACAATTTTTTTGGATATGTGTCGTCTACTTTTCAACGTTAAGTCTTAGATGATACAATTGTTTTGGATATGTGCGTCTAATTTACAACGTTAGGTCTTGGATGGTACAATTTTTCGGATGTGTCGTCTAAGATGTTTGATGTTTAAATTATCCAAGTAAGATTAACTACTATTAACTAAAGAGTGTAGTCTAGTGATAAAAAATTTGAGAACATTTTCACTCCTACTTAGCCCGGCAAAATGGTGCCATTTTTTAGACATTATTAGAAAACCTTGTGAATGACTACTTGATTGTTACATTCACCTTCGAGGTTAATCGGACCTCGAACCTCCTACTTAACAAAAGAGATCGAATGCTACTAATTAATTATTTTTGTATGCAGACGCAATAAAATCTTCTGATCAACATTTTAATTAAAGCACGATAATTTTGTTTTTTTTTCCTTATTTTTCTTTCGTTACAGGGGAAGGTCCAAGGATGTATATCTGGGGTAAAATCATTTGCAGCAGTCGTAGCTCCGTTTGTATATAGTCCGTTGACAGGTACGCGAACACATGAGACTGAAGTTTGAACACCATTTATTACTAAATAACTGTTAATGTTTAACAAACAAAAAATTTGGTTTGATATAGCATTGTTTCTCTCCGAAAATGCACCATTCTATTTCCCTGGATTCAGCCTTCTATGCATCTCCTTATCCTGGGTATTCTTTACATTTGCAGCCGTTTCATCCTTTTTACATCTCCTTTATCCTAGATATACAAGTATGTTCATAAGCTTATTGTATATCTATTAATTATGCTTGACTAACATGTTTTTTTTACATGCATAGATGATCGGATTCCTTCAAAGTCTTCTGATAAAAGATGTTCCGTCACCATCAACGAACGAAGCAATCATCAACACTTCAACTGAGGAATTAAGCTTAACAAGAGATAACTCATAAAGCAAACAAAAAGAAAAAAAATATAACGATATATGCTATTAGATATTTTTTTTGATAATTTATTTTGCATTTAAAGAGAATTTACAGTTGGTAACAAAGAAAAAATATGTATTTAAGTGAATAACAAAACAATGTATTCATAACTGTTCCAATTTTTAATGTTCATCTCCCAGTCTCTCGTCACTCTCATTTTCTCCCTCTACTCCAATCTTTTCAGCCATTTTCTCTTCCTCCTCCTTTTGCTCTGTTCATTTTTTCACCGACAGGATAATTTGGCCACAAATCTAGCGGTTAGACAATCGAGTGGCTCCTCCACGAGCCTTCAATCGTTGCCCTTGATCGAAACCAACACAACACAACTCCACTAGAGTTACGTTCAAATTCGGCTTTCTACTCTTCTGGGACTTTTCCATCTTAATCCCCCAAAAACATATTGAGAAATTATGTTAACTGTAGCGTGTTAAAAAAAAATACTACCATTAATAAAATATAAACAAAACACAAATTTCACTCACACACAAAAATACATTAGTTTGAAAATTAATAGTTACTTAATATTATAGGTACTACGTAACATCAAATGTTGGCCGTATTTTTTATTTTATTTTGCAACACCTTGTTTTCATTAACTTAACTTTCGAGATTACATGTATTCATACAATAAAAAGTAAAAACATTCAAGATTAGAGCAAAAGAAACATCATAATATTATACCACTGCGAATTAAAGAAGGCTTCTTGATGCATCGGTATAAGGATCACGGCTAAGCCGGAAATCACACATTTGGTCACTTTGAACCATGACGTTGAAAGACTACCCAAACTGGTTGTATCTACACAAGAATACAAAATGATTAGAAAATTGCTCGGTTTTGGTTCCGAGAAGAATCCTACTCCCAAGAAGAGAAAAAGGATGGGCAATTTCTATCCCACATGGAGTAAGGTACAAGATTTGAAAATCCAGAAAACTTTGATTTTCTCTTAGTAAAATAAATATCACG